TGCAGACACAAGCAACGATACCAATGAGAGCATCAAGGTGGACACAAGTATTTGCTGACAGATGAGGTTCATTGTTGGTAAAGGTGGAAGATGATGCTGAGGTGGATGTATGCTGAATCGTGGGGTGATGGTTGCTTCTGACCAGCAGAATGACGAAGGGAATGGCCATGCTTGATAGTTAAGTACAAAATAAATTGGGACATAGTCCATAGTTCCGGTCCGAATATCACATCACGTACCCAAGGTGCTCAAACGCGCTTTCGGCTATGCGCCTTCACTGTTGGCGGAAATTCGAACGTGCGGCTCTGATTGGGTTCAGCATGCATGATAGCAACGTGAGTCGAGATGGGATGTCGATGGAGGTAAGTTGGGTTGGTTACCGGAGCACGGACGTCCAAACTAGTACTGTAGGCGGATGTGTTGCAACCATCGATCACTCATTTCAAATTAGAGTAGTACATGCTTCATATCCGCAAAACCCGACTGGAGGTTCCCCAGTTGATCTCGCTGGAATCCTTCTGTACTATGATCAAGTAAGATATAACAGAGGAAGTAAAACGAGGGATTTTATTCTTTCATATCATTGAACCCGACACGAGGATAGTAGCTGTTTGTATGCGAAGTCAAATTCTAGGAAGGAAGTAAGGTTCGAAAGAGGGTGTAAGGGTGTGCCACACTTTGAGATTTTCCTGGGATTTCTTCGTCAGGGCACATGTTCAATATTTCCCAGAACAAACATATGTTGAACATCCCAAGCCAATATGAATATTTTCAGGATCAAGATCGACATTACAGGCAGCGAAATGGAGAGATATCTGCAATAGGAAGATGCACCCTACGAAGATTTGAGTTTGGGGAGATCCGAATGGAGGGTATCGGGAGAAGCAAGTATCTCGGTTTTCTCGCCCTCTACGGTGAAAAAGACTACCACTCGGCATTGGGCGATGGCGGTAGATCCATAGAGGGCCAGTGGGTCAGCTGTTACCAAGGGCTGAACGTTCGTGAACGTTCAGACCGTTGATGAGTGGATGGATCTCCAATCAATAGATCTACGGACGCAAAATATTGCTGTCATCTTGGCTGTCATCGAATTGAACTGGTGGCAGATCTCGGATTGGCCTAGATCCCAAAGTCAGTAGTTTACGCTATGGATTGAAATATGAAGAAGGTCACAGTTTCTCGCTGGTTCTGGTCAAATTGAACCTTCGAGACACGTTCATCATCACTTCTTTCTTCCGCCGAACACTCATGTCCACTCTCTTGAACGTTTGAACTCGAGCTCTTGTGAACGTGGTATATGTTTCCGACATTAGCCCTGAACGTGACTACCTGAATTAACTGATTAATCTATTACATTAGTACCAGGCCTTCGGCTTCGTTATGTGCGCTTCTCTCTCCGAGTCCTCTCTCTTGTGTTTCGCTGACGACTTGTCGTTCCTTTTTTTCGATAGTATCTTAACGGCTCCACGCTCTAGACATGTCAAATGACTTTCCACAAGTACTCCTCCCCTCTATCTTATCTCTGCCTCTTCCTCTCCATTCGTATGCGTGAACCACATAGCTTGTATCGTCTTTTCTCTTTCATTCCGCCGATCAAAAATATCCTACTGATCTCGCGCAGTTGCTTTTTATTTCTGTTGAACCGTAAGTACGACCCAACATCCTCGCCTACAGCGATTTCACCTCAACCGCAGGTGAACCTCTCAGCTTAAAGCTCACCCCTCGGGGACTTTCGCGAAAAGAACCAGCACGATCATTGCCAAGACGGATTTGCTGGACGACATACTCATGCTTTCGATGGTGCTTCATGGGGGAGTGCTTTGTTTTGCTGGCCCGGACTCAGAGGACTCGTCAATCATTCCACCGAACCAACATCCAGCGTTGTCAGGTTGTACGTTGACAATCTACATTCTTTACATATATCGATCTAGACCTTTGCAGTTGCTTCTGTTGCACAGAAGACATCTACCAGACTATCCATCGCCTTCCAGCCCTTTTTGAAGCGGAGTTCGAGTCCATCGAAAAACTTGCCCAGGTTCTGGGGCGGTTTAAAGAAGAGAACCCATCGTCGTAGCCCTTTGTTGACCGCTTTGTCCTCGCACGCTTTGATAGCATGAACGGCATGTTGTTGTGCTTCGCCGGAATGCCATGTTGCTACAAAGAGCTTAACGTAAGTGATTGCAAGAAAAACATTGTCGGTAATCACGTCATTCTTGGCTTCCGCGTCCGTCATGTGTGCAATTAAACCTGCAAACTCGTCGATATCCCTCACCAAATCCTCTTGGCTGCCTTTGTGGCTATCAAGGGGCCAGTCAGCACTAGTGAGGGGAAACATGGACGCTATTCTCTCAAATCGGACTTTGATAATGGGATCTAAAACACGAGAAAATGAGAGTAACCGTAACAATCGGATGGTCTGCGACACATCAACAAGGGGTAGTGAATGGAAAGTCCATGGGGATAAGTCAGATCTTAGAGATGGGTACATCGTATATGATACGTAGGCTGAGAGTGAGGATTTGGAAGCACGTCTTTATCTTATGTAGACTCAGAGAGCATGGAGGAGATTTGTAAACGAATGGTGTTGGGAGGATGTTCACTGGATGAATTTTCGAAGTTTATGAAACAATATGAGTAATTCCATCATCCCTAAAGGCAAGATCCATGAGACGTAGAGGTGAGAGGAGGGGATATATGCTAGATCTTGACTGTTAAAGGCGGTCTTTGATTAATCCCAGGTTTGCCAGATCACTTGGACATTGAACGTGCGCATGATTTCCCGTGGAGGTCAATATTATATGTCTGCCCTCGATGGTGATGTGAATAATGTCCGTGTGTTCGACACTGGTCTCCTTTTTGCAGTGACTAGAAATCAGGACACCTCGGGCAGGATATATTCCAAGCGCCACGATGGTCGCCTGATAAGATCACAGATAAGATCAATCAATGTTGAATGCGAACAATGCCCTTCTTTTCTTCTGAACGCTCATGTCCATCGAACTCTCGAACATTAGCTACTCAGTACTCAAGCTCAAGTACTGTACTCGAGCTCTACGTCTGCTCCATTCTCTATACAGATACTAAGAAAATGATTTGTTGTGTCATCTCACGGAATCATTTTCTGTCGCATAATTACGTCCTCGATTGTTGTCTATCTCAACCGGAAGTGGTCGTGATGGAGAAGGGAAGACATTGGGGGCATGGCGGGTTGATTCCCCACTTTCATTGAGCTTTTCCTCCCTAATCTCGCCACAAAGCACTTACTTTTCTTTGGCTTTGCGCCTTATAACCTCTTCGAGTAGCGGCATCATACAACGTGACAAAATCCCTCGAATCATCGTCAAACTTTGGGCATGCAACCACCTTCTCAACACGTTCCATTTAGATCACACTCTTGGATCTCATGCTAGTTAGGCCCATTCCTTTCTCGTTACTTATGTGGAACTCTAGTCAATTCCGAAGTTGTCCACTGCACGATTAGACGTAAGGAGATATCTCATCTCGGGCTCCCCACCACTTTTCTCTTTCCTTCTTCGCAGAAGCGAGTTTACCCAAAAGCCAAGAAGAAATATTCTTCTGTAACGGCATACTTCCTCCTCTTGAGTCCTATTATCCAGTACAAAGACTAGCAAATTGTACGGACAAATCTGGCATCCACTCAATCCCGACGCTAGAACACCGGTCGGTAAACTCCTACATACGAACGAAGTGATGGCATGTCAATAGAACCCCCTCCCCTCATCAAACGCCCCTTTTCGAATTCCTTTTCTTCTCGTTCTCTATTTCCAAATCTACTTTTACTACATATACTTACTTTCTTATCAAGCTCATTCCACGCGACGGAGTACGGAGTACATGCATGTACTGTACTGCGTGACTAACGAGACGAGGACCTGGACACCAGACAACTCGAAGACAATACGAATCGAGAAAAGGATATTCATCGAGCAAACGCACAAGTGGCATGACATGACGTATCCCCGTTCCAATCGCGTTCTCACAAATTTTTTCTTCTCCTTTTTTTTGAGAATCGCGGTGTGGACTGTCCTTTTCCCGAGAGAAGACTGGTGGTACCTAAGGGGAAACCCGCTTGGCTTATTTGGGACAAGGGGGACTTGATCATGATCACGATGAGGGTTCTTTTTCTTCGAACTGTTCGAACGAATTCAACACGTGCAGGTGGCGCTGCCGGGAATGGTATTTTCGTTTCCTCCAGGTTAATCGTCACGCGTCGTTCTTTGTCAGTGTCACCCCCTTTGTACGGTGTCTTATTCCGCATGGGATCATTGTAGTTTTGTGGATTACCTGGCCGTAAGTACTAGGCGTGACTTTGACCTCTGCTGCGGCGTTTTCCTACAAAGGACTTTCATATCCATGCATGGTGCGCTCTTTCTCCTCGTTCTTCTACTTCAGTGATGGCTTTGAATTATAGTACTAGTACCAGACTTCATTTCCTGTCCGTGTCTTGGTGAGCCTCAATATCACTTCAATCCTATCTTTGAATACAATATTAATATTAATATCAATTTTAACGAACGTGTAGAAGTTTACTATTGATTCGAGCTCCGAGAAGGTTTTAGATGGAAATACGATCAATCAAACGAAAAATGAAGGCGCATGGTGGCGCTATCTACGTAAGTACGTAGCTCGTCCTATGCCTGTTGTCTCTACTCAAGATCAAGATCAAGATCGACTCTCTACGAGCTATCTATCAGTCAATCATCGTCAATTGTACGCGCTTACTTACTCGACTCCACTCGACTTGACTCCTAACCGGCGATCCATCCTCGGGTATGGATCCTTTCCACTGACTCTCATGCACAAGGCCACAACCAACCCCAGTCATGGGGTCTTGGCACAGTGGTAGCGCGCATGCTTTGCATTTCTTGTATCTGAATGTCTGCATGAGGTCGTGAGTTCAATCCTCACAGGCTCCATTCCGGACATGTAGCGGGTATTTTTTTTTTTTTGGATTTCGTTTTCCCCGGTCTAGGTATCATATGCATGCATCATTTTCATTTTAAATACCCAGCTCCAGGCCGTTTTCTTTCCCCTCTGTGCGGTCCTCCTTCCCCTCCCCATTCCCCTTGAGCACCCGTATATGTACCTACGTTATGGGGTCTTGGCACAGTGGTAGCGCGCATGCTTCGCATTAGAGATTGCATGAGGACGTGAGTTCAATCCTCACAGGCTCCAGTCACTGGGAAGACTTTTTCCTTTTTTTTTGTTTATCATGACAGAGCGGGTCGATGAAGATGGGGCGCTGGCTTCGCTCGCGAGGGTGTCATGCATTGGCCATGGATTGCACTGGATTTCTCGGACAGTGATCTAGTTTTGTAGGATACAGACATACAGCCTGTACGTATACGTAGCGTAGACCTAGCGGTATGCATCCGGTCTTCAGATCGTTATTACTATCACCTGCCGTTAGGTAGGTTTCTCCCAGCTCACAGCACCCAAAAAAGGAAACATAACGCTGTGGTCTCGCTTTATAACAAGTGTAAACAATAGCATCTGATGGCATCTGCGGCCTTTCCCGACGATCTATAATATGCCTCACAATTCCTTCGGAATTTCCTTGGGATCTCCCCAGTCCTGCTGCTGAAATTGCCTATATGTTGAATACTTGCTAGATACAGACACATATGCCGGGATAGACTTGATTCTCTGTTATCATTGTTAGTGATAGTCCTGCTTGCGGGTCCGGGTATTGACTCTTGAGTGTACGGGTTGCGGGTGGGCCTTTAGTGACCCGCATAAAACCTGTACCCGTGGCGCGGGTTCACAGGTATGTTATTGAGCCATCATAATCACTTTCTGTGCCAATTACCTCTATGAACTTATATTCGCCTATTGTTGCTTCAAACTGACAATCTTGAGTCTTGGTATTCAACATATCTGAATATCAAAGTATATTTTATTAGTTTGCTTTGATATAAATACAAAAAATTGGGCTTGGAACGCCCACGGATTACCCATGCCCATCACTAATCTGAGCCCGCTTCCCCTTGGCAAGCTGCTCGCCCTTTAAGCTGAATATTTTCTGAGCCCGCTTCTCTTTGGCAAGCCCGCTCGCGATTTAAGCTGAATATTTTCCTCCTGTAGTCCCGTCGAAGGGTGAGTTGTGTTTGCTCTTTCTTGAAGGCCTTCTTTAATCCTTTGGTCTTTGGTTGTATCTTATCAGTACAGGTACCGCCCTGGAGGAAATTGCCTGGTTTTTTGCCATTTAGAAAAATGTATATGAACCATATGCACGTTGTTTTGTACATTTGTTATACCTCTGTTCTTGGAGACCTGTGGCGAGGTCGACAGTGCAACTCACTTCTAAACAAGGAGGTTTGTCAGTATTACATCTACACGCCGGCCGGGGCGGCTAACATGGAATGCACCCGGTCCCAACGGTGGGACCACTGACTCTTACCGGCTGCAGCGGGTACAACTGTGACGTCAGCTGGGGCAGCAAACCTGGTTGAGACGGTGGGCCCGCTCCCCAGCACCAGGCCGCAGCGGGTAGAAATTCTACACCGGCTGGGCCGGCTTAAAGAAATCTAGCGGTCAAGATGGTGGGCCCGCTTACGCTTTCCCGGCTGAAGCGGATATAAATTAGATGCACCCGGTCACACCGTTAGGCCCGTATAGCCAACACGGCCCCAGCGGGTAATGTCGGAGTCACCCGGTTTAAACGGTGAGCCCGCTTGCCACGTCTCGGCCTCAGCGTGTACGGTGATGCCTGTAAGCCCGCAGCGGATAATGTCGGAGTTACCCGCTTCAGACGGGGAGCCCGCTCACCAGGACTTGGCCGGAACGGGTGCAACTTGAATGCTGGCCAGAACGGCATCAAAGCTAGACTCCCGGCGAGGACGGTATGCCCGCGTGATTAATACGCGGCAGGAGCGGGTTTGGCACAGGCCGCTTTGGATGTCAACATTTCACCCTCCTTGCAGTACTGCTCCGCTGCCCCCGTAATATGCAATACAATGTCTATCCTCCCTCCCACGTTGGCTACGAGACACTGTTCAAGAAGGATTTGTATCATGTATCATGGGGGAAGGGAGCCACCTCCGCTGTGTGTAGCGGACTCTGCTCATGCTGTATCATACGATACATTTTGGGGTGGTTCTGACACGTAGGACACGTTGCTTACGCATGTCCTGCCCTGGAGCCCTGAGGAGATGTTGCTCCAAGAACAGCAGAAGAACGGCCAATATTGTGTGTAATAGTTTCCAAGCTAATGCAAAGAATGCCCGTTTGAGTGATGAAATGACAGACACCAAATGCCTGTGCAGTGGAAGAAATTGTGGGACTTCTGGTATTCAACCATTGCGGGGTGGTCACATCACAAGTACATCTGACAGATTGAAGTCAATGGTTTTTCAATGGTGAACAAAATGAAAGGACACACATCAACATACAACTCTGTGTGGTATCCCTCCCATAATCACCAACCAATAATGTGATGATTTGAGTCTTACCGTCCACATCCATTTCAGCAGATTGAACAGTTCTTATTCCAAAAACAAGTGGATATCGGAGCTCCGGAACACAACTTTGGTAGCTTTTGTTAGTTGGATCGCCGGGAAAAGGAATTCTAAAAAACGCATCAAGGAGAATAGTGGAATTCTGAGTTGCAGGGATGTAGGCACAAGCAACAACAAAGAGAATAGTCATATGAGTCTGTCCACCATCACTTGGAGGACTGTAGATCCGAAGGTCAGCTGGAAGTGTGTCGCCATTAGAGCATTGGAGAGTCGTCGAATAATGAAAGTACATTGTTGCCTTAGCTTTGCCATCGGGTAAAGCTCATGAGGTAGAAACACAACGAGCGTTGATAACGGCACAAAAACCCACGATGTTGAATGAAGACATGAATGTCATAATCAAAGACTCTGTTGGGGAATTAAATATTCAAAGTTACAATGCAAGTGAGCCTGAAACAAGCGGGTGACTTAGATCCCATACATTCCAATGGTATCTAGATATAAGCTCTCGATATCAATGGCAAAACAAACATGTTCAATCAAAATCCTGTCATAATTTTCACAATATGTTAGATGACC